TAGCATGGCTAATAATAGCAGAAGCTCCGTTGTACAACCATATGAGACCCAGAGGCAGAGTCGGTCGCAGCTTCTTTTTTTTTCTCCTCCTCCTCTGATCTGCGCTCACTCTGCATGCTGTTACCAGAGCAGGGAGCAGCAGCGGTGAAAATACCTCAGAAACTCGAACAAATAAGCTTTAACAAGGCTTTAATAAGCTAAACAATTGAGGTACATGAGAAAACGTGTTCATAACGAATGAAAATAAATAATTATATAGTGTCCATGCAGGTCTCAAACCCTGGTCTCCCACTCTCTGGTCCAACACCCTACCTATTGCCCTATTGGAGGCCTGTTGTGAAATGAGCTGCACATTACACAACAATACCGTGACAACTTTTTATACTGAGGAGGAGGAKTCTCATCTGGGGGTTGCTAGGTRAGGGGCTGAACGCAGGTTCTGGTGGGTTGTAGTACAGCTTGTGACATCACAAAATGACAGAAGTATAAAACTTGTCGTTAATATACATTAAAAATACATTTACTTACAGTAAATATGCCCCTGGGTGCATTTTTTTGGTCCTAGGACTGTTTTTTAAGAAGTACATACCCAAAGTTGAGTAAAAAAAACTTTCAAAAAGTGAATTTTGCATAATAGGTCCCCTTTAAGGTATTGTTTACTTTACATCACCCTGTATTAATGCAACTATCACTGTAAATGTACAGTTTGTGCTTTTATCAGAGTTCAGCAAGGTCAAAAATCGCATAAATATAACCACAAATGATAAAACTGGAATCCAATTTAAAAAAAATAAAGTTTATGTTTTTGTATTGTGTCTTACTCTTTCTGTCACAATCCTCAGCAGCCACCTCTTTGTTAAGTTGTGTGTCCTCACTGCCTGCAGGACAAAATTTAAATACAGAAATAAATTTTGTTCTGGACTAAGAAAACTTTCTCGGTTTGAGGTAGTCAGTCTGAAATTCATCAGGAGCTWATTTGAAACTCTCTAAAATGATCTTTACCCTCCAGAGCTCGGTGCTGACTGGTTGGTTCGGAGGGTCGTCTCTGTAGATCTCCTCTACAGCTGTTTGCCAGAACTGCATTCGCATCAAACCAATGGTTTTCTGGGAAACAGAGTCCTTCACCTTGTCCAAAAACAAATGTAAGAAGTTTTGACGTTAGCCAGAAACAGAAATCTAAAACTTGAGTGTTTACCTAACACTTTCTTATTGTTGAAACAAAAACTGCAGTAACAGCAGCAGTGGCAGTGATGGTGACCGCCACAGAGCTGTATCAGAAGACATTTGAGAAATAATTTCTCATTCAACCAAATGTAGGAATACCTGCCTGTGCCAGCTCCACATTAAAAGCTCTCAGAGCCAGAGAGGAGCGCCGGGCTTCGAAAGGGAGCAGGAGAGACGAGATGAAGCCCTCATGGTCTCTGGACCTGAGGAGGAGAACAACTTTTTTAAATAATTTGCTCATTTTAAAACTTCATTTTCATTTTCTAGAACAGGGGTGCCCAAACATTTTCCCTGAGAGGGCCAAAATTAAAATCAATCTGAGGGCCGCGGGCCAAATGCAATAATATAAGAAATGCAAATACTTAAGTAAAGTTGTTTTATTTTTTTATGATTAAGCTTGCAGCCAGTGTGGTTGCCCACATTCTTTAGTTTTTTGTTTCAGCCCACGGACATGGAGAAAATTCAATGTATGCTCAGGCAGCAAAGGCTCATGGGACTTTTCATAATTTAAAATTTGAGTATATGTGGTCTTATAAGGTGTGCAAATCTATACTGTATATGGGCTTAAATCTGAACTAAATGTCTCTTGTAGTTACTTGTATTTTATATTTAATCTTAACATAATTACAATCTAGTATGCAGGACAACTGCTGGTGGGCCAAATCAAATGGCTCGGGGGGCCAATTTTGGCCCGCGGGCCCCACTTTGGGCACCTCTGTTCTAGAAGCTCCATCATTAAAAACTGCAAAATGCAATGATGCCAAAATAGATGACTTTTTTTTATTTAATCTGAAGACATTAGAAAATTAAAAACAAGGCTGTGATTTCATTTACAGTTTCCAGTTTCACTTGGGTTAGTCACTAGAAAAATAACTTTAAGAGTTCAAATTATAAGACCAATTTTTCAACACTTATCTGATTTTTATGCAAGATCTTTGATTGGAGCCTGACATAAATACTGTACGTTCATCCAGATTTTAATAATGTGGACTAAAACTGCGAGTTATCCGTTTTAAACAACAATGTGTGGTTTGCACTGTCATTATCAAAAATAATATGTATGTATTCAATCAAAACGTGCTCCAACCTACCTTACTAAATCCAGACAGTACTTTTCACTGTGTTGAAACGCTGCTGTTGCATTTGTAGACGCTCTCACGCTTTGCCTTTCAGCTGCTCTTTGGACACATACAGGCTTTGGTGCTATGTTTCTGCTAAAACTGTAAATCCGTGAGGTTTTACTGCTGAACAATCCATGTTTAGCACAGACGCAAGCTGCCATGTTCCCCTTCAAATTGTGTTGCATTCACTGTCCCTCGGAGACGGAAAGATTAGTGTGTAAACAACGTCCGTTTTCGACCACAGCGTTATGAGGGCTTTTCTGGGAAGGAAGTCGATATGTGCGTAATACATAACGAACTGCTCACTTGGCTGAGTAAGCAAAAGAGACGAGAGACTAACAACGTTATTTTTATGTTTTCATTAGATAAAATTGCAACATATTGAAAACTGAAATTCACTGTACAGCCTTTATAATTGGAGCAACTTTCATATCAAATAAATTAAAAACAATTAACTTAAGCTGTAATACAAAATACTTTTTAAAAAATATGCATTGGACGTTCGCCTATTTCCAGCAGATTSCTGAAAATACAACTTTTCAACGGCCTACGAACGCAGCAGACTGTGTTACTTTAAACTCCTTCCTACCCCGACCATCCGGGACAGAAAGTCAAGTGATCGCAATGTGAAAAACTGATCTGTCAAAGTTTTTTAAAAAGTGGGAAAAACATGCACAACACATACAACAATTTGAGACGCATATTTTGCGTTAAAGCGTCACACAACTGATTTTGTGGTGACAACACCAAAAATAAAAAATTTTTGGAAAAGAAAAATGCACACCTAAAATACTACTACTACTACTACTACTACTACTACTACTACTACTACTACTACTACTACTACTACTACTACTACTA